CTTTATATAATCTGGCTATTTTTTACTCTTTTTATAGTTCTATGTGAGAAATCGCTTTGCAAGTAGTATAAAATATTGCTATGTTGAACCTGGCCCGAAGAGATCCAACTAATCATTCTCTGTTGATTTCATATTGAATTCTTTCACCGCGTTCACCGCCATTCACCGCATAATAGTCTCCTGCACCGCATGAGATAAGCAGGTGACAACAATCTACTATTGTCTTTAATTTCACAAAAATTTCAGATCGTCCCTGGTGGCTTAGTGGTAGTTCGTATGGCCTGTCTCTATTAACGTTTGGGTTCAAATCACGTTGAACTCATATTTTGTAGCGGACTCACAATATTTTTTTTCCCTTTATATAATCTGGCTATTTTTTACTCTTTTTTTAGTTCTATGTGAGAAATCGCTTTGCAAGTAGTATAAAATATTGCTATGTTGAACCTGGCCCGAAGAGATCCAGCTAATCATTCTCTGTTGATTTCATATTGAATTCTTTCACCGCGTTCACCGCCATTCACCGCATAATAGTCTCCTACACCGCATGAGATAAGCAGGTCACAACAATTTACTATTGTCTTTAATTTCACAAAAATTTCAGATCGTCCCTGGTGGCTTAGTGGTAGTTCGTCTGGCCTGTCTCTATTAACGTTTGGGTTCAAATCACGTTGAACTCATATTTTGTAGCGGACTCTCAATATTTTTTTTCCCTTTATATAATCTGGCTATTTTTTACTCTTTTTATAGTTCTATGTGAGAAATCGCTTTGCAAGTAGTATAAAATATTGCTATGTTGAACCTAGCCCGAAGAGATCCAGCTAATCATTCTGTGTTGATTTCATATTGAATTTTTTCACCGCGTTCACCGCCATTCACCGCATAATAGTCTCCTACACCGTATGAGATAAGCAGGTCACAACAATCTACTATTGTCTTTAATTTCACAAAAATTTCAGATCGTCCCTGGTGGCTTAGTGGTAGTTCGTTTGGCCTATCTCGATAAACGTTTGAGTTCAAATCACGCTGAACTCATATTTTGTAGCAGACTCACAATTTTTTTTCCCTTTAATCTTTATATAATCTGGCTATTTTTTACTCTTTTTATATTTCTATGTGAGAAATTGCTTTACAAGCAGAAAAAAATATTGCTATGTTGAACCTGGCCCGAAGAGATCCAGCTAATCATTCTGTGTTGATTTCATATTGAATTCTTCACCGCGTTCACCGCCATTCACCGCATAATAGTCTCCTACACCGCATGAGATAAGCAGGTCACAACAATCTACTATTGTCTTTAATTTCGCAAGAACTTCAGATCGTCCCTGGTGGCTTAGTGGTAGTTCGTATGTCCTGTCTCTATTAACGTTTGGGTTCAAATCCCGTTGAACTCATATTTTGTAGCGGATTCTCAATATTTTTCTTCCCTTTATATAATCTGGCTATTTTTTACTCTTTTTATAGTTCTATGTGAGAAATCGCTTTGCAAGTAGTATAAAATATTGCTATGTTGAACCTGGCCCGAAGAGATCCAGCTAATCATTCTGTGTTGATTTCATATTGAATTTTTTCACCGCGTTCACCGCCATTCACCGCATAATAGTCTCCTACACCGTATGAGATAAGCAGGTCACAACAATCTACTATTGTCTTTAATTTCACAAAAATTTCAGATCGTCCCTGGTGGCTTAGTGGTAGTTCGTTTGGCCTATCTCGATAAACGTTTGAGTTCAAATCACGCTGAACTCATATTTTGTAGCAGACTCACAATTTTTTTTCCCTTTAATCTTTAGATAATCTGGCTATTTTTTACTCTTTTTATATTTCTATGTGAGAAATTGCTTTACAAGCAGAAAAAAATATTGCTATGTTGAAGCTGGCCCGAAGAGATCCAGCTAATCATTCTGTGTTGATTTCATATTGAATTCTTCAACGCGTTCACCGCCATTCACCGCATAATAGTCTCCTACACCGCATGAGATAAGCAGGTCACAACAATCTACTATTGTCTTTAATTTCGCAAGAACTTCAGATCGTCCCTGGTGGCTTAGTGGTAGTTCGTATGTCCTGTCTCTATTAACGTTTGGGTTCAAATCCCGTTGAACTCATATTTTGTAGCGGACTCTCAATATTTTTTTTCCTTTATATAATCTGGCTATTTTTTACTCTTTTTATAGTTCAATGTGAGAAATCGCTTTGCAAGTAGTATAAAATATTGCTATGTTGAACCTGGTCCGAAGAGATCCAGCTAATCATTCTGTGTTGATTTCATATTGAATTCTTTCACCGCGTTCACCGCCATTCACCGCATAATAGTCTCCTACACCGTATGAGATAAGCAGGTCACAACAATCTACTATTGTCTTTAATTTCACAAAAATTTCAGATCGTCCCTGGTGGCTTAGTGGTAGTTCGTTTGGCCTATCTCGATAAACGTTTGAGTTCAAATCACGCTGAACTCATATTTTGTAGCAGACTCACAATTTTTTTTCCCTTTAATCTTTAGATAATCTGGCTATTTTTTACTCTTTTTATATTTCTATGTGAGAAATTGCTTTACAAGCAGAAAAAAATATTGCTATGTTGAAGCTGGCCCGAAGAGATCCAGCTAATCATTCTGTGTTGATTTCATATTGAATTCTTCAACGCGTTCACCGCCATTCACCGCATAATAGTCTCCTACACCGCATGAGATAAGCAGGTCACAACAATCTACTATTGTCTTTAATTTCGCAAGAACTTCAGATCGTCCCTGGTGGCTTAGTGGTAGTTCGTATGTCCTGTCTCTATTAACGTTTGGGTTCAAATCCCGTTGAACTCATATTTTTTAGCGGACTCTCAATATTTTTCCCCTTTATTTATTCTTGCTATTTTTTATACTTTTTGTACTTCTATGTGAGAAATCGCTTTGCAAGTAGTATAAAATATTGCTATGTTGAACCTGGCCCGAAGAGATGCAGCTAATCATTCTGTGTTGATTTCTTATTGAATTCTTTCACCGCGTTCACCGCCATTCACCGCATAATAGTCTCCTACACCGCATGAGATAAGCAGGTCAGAACAATCTACTATTGTCTTTAATATCACAAAAATTTCAGATCGTCCCTGGTGGCTTAGTGGTAGTTCGTCTGGCCTGTCTCTATTAACGTTTGGGTTCAAATCACGTTGAACTCATATTTTGTAGCGGACTCACAATATTTTTTTCCCTTTATATAATCTGGCTATTTTTTACTCTTTTTATAGTTCTATGTGAGAAATCGCTTTGCAAGTAGTATAAAATATTGCTATGTTGAAGCTGGCCCGAAGAGATCCAGCTAATCATTCTCTGTTGATTTCATATTGAATTCTTTCACCGCGTTCACCGCCATTCACCGCATAATAGTCTCCTGCACCGCATGAGATAATCAGGTCACAACAATCTACTATTGTCTTTAATTTCACAAAAATTTCAGATCGTCCCTGGTGGCTTAGTGGTAGTTCGTCTGGCCTGTCTCTATTAACGTTTGGGTTCAAATCACGTTGAACTCATATTTTGTAGCGGACTCACAATATTTTTTTCCCTTTATATAATCTGGCTATTTTTACACTTTTTATACTTCTATGTGAGAAATCGCTTTGCAAGTAGTATAAAATATTGCTATGTTGAACCTGGCCCAAAGAGATCCAGCTAATAATTCTCTGTTGATTTCATATTGAATTCTTTCACCGCGTTCACCGCCATTCACCGCATAATAGTCTCCTACACCGCATGAGATAAGCAGGTCACAACAATCTACTATTGTCTTTAATTTCACAAAAATTTCAGATCGTCCCTGGTGGCTTAGTGGTAGTTCGTCTGGCCTGTCTCTATTAACATTTGGGTTCAAATCGCGTTGAACTCATATTTTGTAGCGGACTCTCAATATTTTTCTTCCCTTTATATAATCTGGCTATTTTTTACTCTTTTTATAGTTCTATGTGAGAAATCGCTTTGCAAGTAGTATAAAATATTGCTATGTTGAACCTGGCCCGAAGAGATCCAGCTAATCATTCTGTGTTGATTTCATGTTGAATTCTTTCACCGCGTTCACCGCCATTCACCGCATAATAGTCTCCTTCACCTCATGAGATAAGCAGGTCACAACAATCTACTATTCTGGCTTTAATTTCACAAGAATTTCAGATCGTTCCTGGTGGCTTAGTGGTAGGCCGTTTGGCCTATCACTATTAACGTTTGGGTTCAAATCCCGTTGAACTCATAGCGGACTCACAATTGTTTTTTTCTTTATTTATTCAGGCTATTTTTTTTTCTTTTTATACTTCTATGTGAGAAATCGCTTTATTGCTATTTCCAACCTGGCCCTTATGCAAATGTTCGTTATCGGTCCTTCATAATAAGTTATACTAACCTTATCCGTTATCCGGGATTCTCGAGTCAACTAAATTTCGGACTGATGGAAAAAAATTTTTGTTATACTGGATATAGATCGACCTAGAAAGATTAAGAACGCATATTGATGAAGATAGTTATGGCCCGGGAGAATTTTAGAACACATTTTCAAATTTGAGATGACTAGTGGAAATGTTCGTTATCCGTCCTTCATAATAAGTTATACTAACCTTATCCGTTATCCGGGATTCTCGAGTCAACTAAATTTCGGACTGATGGAACATCCGAGTTTTTTCGTCATAGACATAGATCAACCTAAAAAGATTCAAAACGCATATTGATGGAGAAAATTTTGGTTCAGGGGAATTTTAAAGCACATTTTGACTTGCAGACTTGTTGATCCGTCTTAATCAGTAGGCTTATAGAGGCTTTATCAGTAGGCTTTTAGATTGTTCTTCGCTCCACCTTACCCGGATTTCTCAACTATACTAGTACTGCAGCTAATTAAAGGGCCACATACTGCTTTTTCATATAGCCATCACAAACAGTGGCTACCTACCAGGTCTTCCGATATCCCACATCCTTAATTCATCGCGACAAATCGCCGAGGCTACTGCAGGGTATGCCGAAATCTACCTTCCTTATTATCCAGTATGCCCATGAGCACGCTCGTATATTCGTCTGTTTGTGAGAAAAATTTTCCCTGTTTGATCTAAATTTTCTAAATATACAGAAATATATGTATATAAAAAACGTGCTGGACATGTTTTACATGGTGAAAGGTTGACAATTTTTGAAAGGAAAATTTTTGCTGTTGAAAACATATATCTTATATGTGTGCAAATAAAAATTACTAGAAATAAATAAAAATTTCCAGCTAACACGACGAGAACGGGAGTTGTCTCGTGTTAGCCGCCAGACATGCAGCGTGGATTATCACGTTTTTGCTTAGGTCTGACAAATGTCCGATGAACGAGACTGTTGCTCGGACATTGGCCAAGAATGGTCAGCCAACTATTTAAACCATTTTACGTGACAGTGCTACAGATCGACGTACCATTATTGATTGCACGTTTGCATGCTAGCAACGTCCTCCGACGTACCATTATTGATTGCACGTTTGCAACTAGCAACGTCCTCCGCGCCTTCACTTTGTTTGAGTTTCTTTAGAAAATAAAGGTATTTACTAATATATAAACTAATATAGAAATTAAACATATTTTTGTAAGTAGTAAGTATTGTAAACGCCGCCGGCTATGGACTGTAACTATCGAGATGCGGTCACTTGAGAGAGTATTTGCTAAAAGAGAAGCTCAATGACAATGTTTCCTCGGAGTGATTTTTTCATCTAAATATTTATTGATTGCATGGTATAGTAGGCATAGCTAGATGCTTTTCAAACAGTACTTTTCACATAAACTACCTTCAATTTAAATGAACAGCGTGGTGTATTTTATTTGATCGGACAAAATGTCCGTGCAGAATGAATTTGATCAGCCATTTGGTGTTTTTGTTCGGCAAATAGCCGATTGCCGACCGTTATAATCCACACTGCTTGAGACATGGTGATATATACCATACGGTATCTTAACGAACTACGAGGGAGAGTGCTGGCGGCCCCTAAACCATTATGTGCCGACACCCTTTTCGCAAGATTCTGGAATATATCGCCTTCCACACATTACTACATGGTACGGGTTCCGTGTATATACAGTTGCGACTCCGTTGATGGAAGGCTTGTGGGACGCAATAACCCAGCGCGTGCGCATTGGGTATGCGGGTAGCGAAATAACACAATACTCATGCAAAAGCATTCTTATAAAAAAACTACATCTATAATATAGACAGTGTATAACATATAAACATTTTGACATATAAACTTTCAGACAGTATATACGTATATGCAAATGAATCCTTACCCGTCCAATCATTATGAATTCTATTACGCTTACCCGTTACCCGTGGGATCAATCTTGAGTCAACTAAAGTTTGGAACTTAGAAAATTTCGAGCTGATCGAATAAACTTTTTCGTCATGGACGGACTTAGAAATGTCCAAAAGGCATAATGATGAAGAAAGTTTTGGCTCAGCAAAATTTTGAAGCACATTTTGACATATAAACTTTCAGACAGTATACGTATATGCAAATGAATCCTTACCCGTCCTACATTATAAATTCTATTACGCTTACCCGTTACCCGTGAGATCAATCTTGAGTCAACTAAAGTTTGGGACTTAGAAAATTTCGAGCTGATCGAATAACTATTTCGTCATGGACCGATTTAGAAATGTCCAAAAGGCATAATGATGAAGAAAGTTTTGGCTCAGGAAAATTTTGAAGCACATTTTGACATATAAACTTTCAGACAGTATACGTATATGCAAATGAATCCTTACCCGTTCAATCATTATGAATTCTATTACGCTTACCCGTTACCCGTGAGATCAAATTTGAGTCAACTAAAGTTTGAGACTTAGAAAATTTCGAGCAGATCGAAAAAGTTTTTTCCGTCATGGACCGATTTAGAAATGTTGAAAACGCATAATGATGGAGAAAGTTTTGGCGCAGGAGAATTTTGAAGCACATTTTGACATATAAACTTTCAGACAGTATACGTATATGCAAATGAATCCTTACCCGTCCTACATTATAAATAGTATTAAGCTTACCCGTTACCCGTGGAATCAATCTGGAGTGAACTAAAGTTTGGGACTTAGAAAATTTCGAGCTGATCGAATAAACTTTTTCGTCATGAACCGACTTAGAAATGTCCAAAAGGCATAATGATGAAGAAAGTTTTCGCTCAGGAAAATTTTGAAGCACATTTTAACATATAAACTTTCAGACAGTATACGTATATGCAAATGAATCCTTACCCGTCCGATCATTATGAATTCTATTACGCTTACCCGTTACCCGTGAGATCAAATTTGAGTCAACTAAAGTTTGAGACTTAGAAAATTTCGAGCTGATCGAAAAAGTTTTTTCGTCATGGACCGACTTAGAAATGTCCAAAAGGCATAATGATGAAGAAAGTTTTGGCTCAGGAAATTTTGAAGCACATTTTGACATATAAACTTTCAGACAGTATACGTATATACAAATGAATCGTTACCCGCCCGATCATTATGAATTCTATTACGCTTACCCGTTACCCGTGAGATCAATCTTGAGTCAACTAAAGTTTGAGAATTAGAAAATTTCGAGCTGATCGAAAAAGTTTTTTCGTCATGGACCGACTTAGAAATGTTCAAAACGCATAATGATGGAAAAAGTTTTGGCTCGGGAGAATTTTAAAGCACATTTTGACATATAAACTTTCAGACAGTATACGTATATGCAAATGAATCCTTGCCCGTCCGATCATTATGAATTCTATTACGCTTACCCGTTACCCGTGGGATCAATCTTGAGTGAACTAAAGTTTGAGACTTAGAAAATTTTGAGCTGATCGAATAAATTTTTTCGTCATGGACCGACTTAGAAATGTTCAAAACGCATAATGATGAAGAAAGTTTTGGCTCAGGAAAATTTTGAAGCACGTTTTGACATATAAACTTTTAGACAGTATACGTACATGCAAATGAATCCTTACCCGTCCTATCATTATGAATTCTATTACGCTTACCCGTTACCCGTGAGATCAATCTTGAGTCAACTAAAGTTCGAGACTTAGAAAATTTCGAGCTAATCGAAAAATTTTTTTCGTCATGCACCGATTTAGAAATGTTCAAAACGAATAATTATAGAGAAAGTTTCGGCTCAGGAGAATTTTAAAGCACATTTTGACATATAAACTTTCGGACAGTATATACGTATATGAAAATAAATCCTTACCAGTCCGATCATTATGAATTCTATTACGCTTACCCGTTACCCGTGAGATCAATCTTGAGTCAACTAAAGTTTGAGACTTAGAAAATTTCGAGCTGATCGAAAAAGTTTTTTCGTCATGGACCGATTTAGAAATGTTCAAAACGCATAATGATGGAGAAAGTTTTGGCTCGGGAGAATTTTAAAGCACATTTTGACATATAAACTTTCAGACAGTATACGTAAATTCAAATGAATCCTTACCCGTCCGATCGTTATGAATTCTATTACGCTTACCCGTTACCCGTGGGATCAATCTTGAGTGAACTAAAGTTTGAGACTTAGAAAATTTTGAGCTGATCGAATAAATTTTTTCGTCATGGACCGACTTAGAAATCTTCAAAACGCATAATGATGGAGAAAGTTTTGGCTCAGGAGAATTTTAAAGCACATTTTGACATATAAACTTTCAGACAGTATATACGTATATGCAAATGAATCCTTACCCGTCCGATCATTATGAATTCTATTACGCTTACCCGTTACCCGTCAGATCAATCTTGAGTCAACTAAAGTTTGAGACTTAAAAAATTTCGAGCTGATCGAAAAAGTTTTTTCGTCATGGACCGACTTAGAAATGTTCAAAACGCATAACGATGGAGAAAGTTTTGCCTCAGGAGAATTTTGAAGCACATTTTGACATATAAACTTTCAGACAGTATACGTATATGCAAATGAATCCTTACCCGTCCGAAAATTATGAATTCTACTACGCTTACCCGTTACCCGTGAGATCAATCTTGAGTGATCTAAAGTTTGAGACTTAGAAAACTTCGAGCCGATCGAAAAAGTTTTTTCCGTCATGGACCGACTTAGAAATGTTCAAAACGCATAATGATGAAGAAAGTTTTGGCTCAGGAGAATTTTGAAGCACGTTTTGACATATAAACTTTTAGACAGTATACGTATGCAAATGAATCCTTACCCGTCCTATCATTATGAATTCTATTACGCTTACCCGTTACCCGTGAGATCAATCTTGAGTCAACTAAAGTTTGAGACTTAGAAAATTTCGAGCTGATCGAAAAAGTTTTTTCGTCATGGACCGATTTAGAAATGTTCAAAACGCATAATGATGGAGAAAGTTTTGGCTCGGGAGAATTTTAAAGCACATTTTGACATATAAACTTTCAGACAGTACACGTATATGCAAATGAATCCTTACCCGTCCGATCATTATGAATTCTATTACGCTTACCCGTTACCCGTGAGATCAATCTTGAGTCAACTAAAGTTTGAGACTTAGAAAATTTCGAGCTGATAGAAAAAGTTTTTTCGTCATGGACCGACTTAGAAATGTTCAAAAGGCATAATGATGAAGAAAGTTTTGGCTCAGAAAAATTTGGAGCACGTTTTGACATATAAACTATTAGACAGTATACGTACATGCAAATGAATCCTTACCCGTCCTATCATTAGAAATGCTATTACGCTTACCCGTTACCCGTGGAATCAATCTTGAGTCAATTAAAGTTTGAGACTTAGAAAATTTCGAGCTGATCGAAAAAGTTTTTTCGTCATGGACCGATTTAGAAATGTTCAAAACGCATAATGATGGAGAAAGTTTTGGCTCGGGAGAATTTTAAAGCACATTTTGACATATAAACTTTCAGACAGTACACGTATATGCAAATGAATCCTTACCCGTCCGATCATTATGAATTCTATTACGCTTACCCGTTACCCGTGAGATGAATCTTGAGTCAACTAAAGTTTGAGACTTAAAAAATTTCGAGCTGATCGAAAAAGGTTTTTCGTCATGGACCGACTTAGAAATGTTCAAAACGCATAATGATAGAGAAAGTCTTGGCTCAGGAGAATTTTAAAGCACATTTTGACATATAAACTTTCAGACAGTATATACGTATATGCAAATGAATCCTTACCCGTCCGATCATTATGAATTCTATTACGCTTACCCGTTACCCGTGAGATCAATCTTGAGTCAACTAAAGTTTGAGAATTAGAAAATTTCGAGCTGATCGAAAAAGTTTTTTTGTCATGGACCGACTTAGAAATGTTCACAACGCATAATGATTGAGAAAGTTTTGGCTCGGGAGAATTTTAAAGCACATTTTGACATATAAGCTTTCAGACAGTATACGTATATGCAAATGAATCCTTACCCGTCCGATCATTATGAATTCTATTACGCTTACCCGTTACCCGTGGGATCAATCTTGAGTCAACTAAAGTTTGAGACTTAGAAAATTTCGAGCTGATCGAAAAAGTTTTTTCGTCGTGGACCGACTTAGAAATGTTCAAAACGCATAATGATGCAGAAAGATTTGGCTCACGAGAATTTTGAAGCACATTTTGACATATAAACTTTCAGACAGTATACGTATATGCAAATGAATCCTTACCCGTCCGATCATTATGAATTCTATTACGCTTACCCGTTACCCGTGAGATCAATCTTGAGTCAACTAAAGTTTGAGAATTAGAAAATTTCGAGCTGATCGAAAAAGTTTTTTCGTCATGGACCGACTTAGAAATGTTCAAAACGCATAATGATGGAGAAAGTTTTGGCTCAGGAGAATTTTAAAGCACATTTTGACATATAAACTTTCAGACAGTATACGTATATTCAAATGAATCCTTACCCGTCCGATCATTATGAATTCTATTACGCTTACCCGTTACCCGTGGGATCAATCTTGAGTCAACTAAAGTTTGAGACTTAGAAAATTTTGAGCTGATCGAATAAATTTTTTCGTCATGGACCGACTTAGAAATGTTCAAAAGGCATAATGATGAAGAAAGTTTTGGCTCAGGAAAATTTTGAAGCACGTTTTGACATATAAACTTTCAGACAGTATACGCACATGCAAATGAATCCTTACCCGTCCGATCATTATAAATATATTACGCTTACCCGTTACCCGTGAGATGAATCTTGAGTCAACTAAAATTTGAGACTCAGAAAATTTCGAGCTGATCGAAAAAGTTTTTTCGTCATGGACCAACTTAGAAATGTTCAAAAGGCATAATGATGAAGAAAGTTTTGGCTCAGGAAAATTTTGAAGCACATTTTGACATATAAACTTTTAGACAGTATACGTATATGCAAATGAATCCTTACCCGTCCGATCATTATAAATGCTATTACGCTTACCCGTTACCCGTGGAACCAATCTTGAGTCAACTAAAGTTTGAGACTTAGAAAATTTCGAGCTGATCGAAAAGGTTTTTTCGTCATGGACCGACTTAGAAATGTTCAAAACGCATAATGATGCAGAAGTTTTGGCTCAGGAGAATTTTAAAGCACATTTTGACATATAAACTTTCAGACAGTATACGTATATGCAAATGAATCCTTACCCGTCCGATCATTATGAATTCTATTACGCTTACCCGTTACCCGTGGGATCAATCTTGAGTCAACTAAAATTTGAGACTTAGAAAATTTCGAGCTGATCGAAAAAGTTTTTTCGTCATGGGCCGACTTAGAAATAATCAAAACGCATAATTATGCAGAAAGATTTGGCTCAGGAGAATTTTGGAACACATTTTCAAATTTGAGATGACTTATGCAAATGTTCGTTATCCATCCTTAATAATAAGTTATACTAACCTTATCCGTTATCCGGGATTTTCGAGTCAACTAAATTTCGACTGATGGAACGTCCGAGTTTTTTCGTCATAGACATAGATCAACCTAAAAAGATTCAAAACGCGTATTGATGGAGAAAATTTTGGTTCAGGGGAATTTTAAAGCACATTTTGACTTACAGACTTGCTGATCCGTCTTACTCAGTAGGCTTATACTTTTTCTTAGATTGTTCTACGCTCCGCGTTACCCGGATTTCTAGTACTGCAGCTATAAAGGGCCACATACTACTTTTTAATATAGCCATCACAAACATTGGCTAGCTACAAGGTATGCCGAAATCCCATATCCTTAATTCATCGCGACAAATCGCCGAGGCTACTGCCGGGTATGCCGAAATCTGGCATCCTTAACATCCAGTATGCTCATGAGCACGCTCGTACAGTCGTCTGTTTGTGAGGAAAATTTTCCCCGTCTGTTCGAAACATTGTAAATATACAGAAATATATCTATATAAAAAACGTGCTGGACATGTTTTACATGGTGAAAGTTGACAATTTTTGTAAGGAAAATTTTTGGTTTTGCAAACATATATCTTATATGTGTGTAAATAAAAATTAATAGAAATAAATAAAAATTTCCAGCTAACATTCACGAAGAGAACGGGAGTTGTCTCGTGTTAGCCGCCAGACATGGTGATATATACCATACGGAATCTTAACGAACTACGGGGGAGAGTGCTGGCGGCCCCCAAACCATTATGTGCCGACACCCTTTTCGCAAGATTCTGGAATATATCGCCTTCCACACATTACTACATGGTACGGGTTCCGTGTATATACAGTTGCGACTCCGTTGATGGAAGGCTTGTGGGACGCGATAACCCAGCGCGTGCGCATTGGGTATGCGGGTAACGAAATAACACAATACTCATGCAGAAGCATTCTTATAAAAAAACTACATTTATAATATAGACAGTGTATAACATATAAACATTTTAAAGGAGAATTTTAAAGCACATCTTGACATATCAACTTTCAGACAGTATACGTATATGCAAATGAATCCGTACCCGTCCGTTCATTATAAATACAATTATGCTTACCCGTTACCCGTGGGATCAATCTTGAGTCAATTAAAGTTTGAGACTTAGAAAATTTCGAGCTGATCGAAAAAGTTTTTTCGTCATGGACCGACTTAGAAATGCTCAAAACGCATAACGACGGAGAAAGTTTTGGCTCAGGAGAATTTTAAAGCACATTTTAACATATAAACTTTCAGACAGTATACGTATATGCAAATGAATCCTTACCCGTCCGATCATTATGAATTCTATTACGCTTACCCGTTACCCGTGAGATCAATCTTGAGTCAACTAAAATTTGAGACTTAGAAAATTTCGAGCTGATCGAAAAAGTTTTTTCGTCATGGACCAACTTAGAAATGTTCAAAGGCATAATGATGAAGAAAGTTTTGGCTCAGGAAAATTTTCAAGCACGTTTTGACATATAAACTTTTAGACAGTATACGTATATGCAAATGAATCCTTACCCGTCCGATCATTATGAATTCTATTACGCTTACCCGTTACCCGTGAGATGAATCTTGAGTCAACTAAAGTTTTAGAATTAGAAAATTTCGAGCTGATCGAAAAAGTTTTTTCGTCATGGACCGACTTAGAAATATTCAGAACGCATAATGATGGAGAAAGTTTTGGCTCGGGAGAATTTTAAAGCACATTTTGACATATAAACTTTCAGACATTATACGTATATGCAAATGAATCCTTACCCGTCCGATCATTATGAATTCTATTACGCTTACCCGTTACCCGTGGGATCAATCTTGAGTGAACTAAAGTTTGAGACTTAGAAAATTTTGAGCTGATCGAATCAAGTAAATTTTTTCGTCATGGACCGACTTAGAAATGTTCAAAAGGCATAATGATGAAGAAAGTTTTGGCTCAGGAAAATTTTCAAGCACGTTTTGACATATAAACTTTTAGACAGTATACGTATATGCAAATGAATCCTTACCCGTCCGATCATTATGAATTCTATTACGCTTACCCGTTACCCGTGAGATCAATCTTGAGTCAACTAAAGTTTGAGACTTAGAAAATTTCGAGCTGATCGAAAAAGTTTTTTCTTCATGGACCGACTTAGAAATGTTCAAAACGCATAATGATGGAGAAAGTTTTGGCTCAGGAGAATTTTAAAGCACATTTTGACATATAAACTTTCAGACAGTATACGTATATGCAAATGAATCCTTACCCGTCCGATCATTATGAATTCTATCACGCTTACCCGTTACACGTGAGATCAATCTTGAGTCAACTAAAATTTGAGAGTTAGAAAATTTCGAGCTGATCGAAAAAGTTTTTTCGTCATGAACCAACTTAGAAATGTTCAAAAGGCATAATGATGAAGAAAGTTTTGGCTCAGGAAAATTTTAAAGCACATTTTGACATATAAACTTTTAGACAGTATACGTATATGCAAATGAATCCTTACCCGTCCAATCATTATGAATTCTATTACGCTTACCCGTTACCCGTGAGATGAATCTTGAGTCAACTAAAGTTTGAGACTTAAAAAATTTCGAGCTGATCGAAAAAGTTTTTTCGTCATGGACCGACTTAGAAATGTTCAAAACGCATAATGATGGAGAAAGTTTTGGCTCGGGAGAATTTTAAAGCCCATTTTGATATATAAATTTTCAGACAGTATACGTATATGCAAATGAATCCTTACCCGTCCGATCATTATGAATTCTATTACGCTTACCCGTTACACGTGAGATCAATCTTGAGTCAACTAAAATTTGAGACTTAAAAAATTTCGAGCTGATCGAAAAAGTTTTTTCGTCATGAACCAACTTAGAAATGTTCAAAAGGCATAATGATGAAGAAAGTTTTGGCTCAGGAAAATTTTCAAGCACATTTTGACATATAAATTTTAGACAGTATACGTACATGCAAATGAATCCTTACCCGTCCGATCATTATGAATTCTATTACGCTTACCCGTTACCCGTTGGATCAATCTTGAGTGAACTAAAGTTTGAGACTTAGAAAATTTTGAGCTGATCGAATAAATTTTTTCGTCATGGACCGACTTAGAAATGTTCAAAAGGCATAATGATGAAGAAAGTTTTGGCTCAGGAAAATTTTGAAGCACGTTTTGACATATAAACTATTAGACAGTATACGTAGATGCAAATGAATCCTTACCCGTGCTATCATTATAAATGCTATTACGCTTACCCGTTACCCGTGAGATCAATCTTGAGTCAATTAAAGTTTGAGACTTAGAAAATTTCGAGCTGATCGAAAAAGTTTTTTCTTCATGGACCGACTTAGAAATGTTCAAAACGCATAATGATGGAGAAAGTTTTGGCTCAGGAGAATTTTAAAGCACATTTTGACATATAAACTTTTAGACAGTATACGTACATGCAAATGAATCCTTACCCGTCCGATCATTATGAATTCTATTACGCTTACCCGTTACCCGTTGGATCAATCTTGAGTGAACTAAAGTTTGAGACTTAGAAAATTTTGAGCTGATCGAATAAATTTTTTCGTCATGGACCGACTTAGAAATGTTCAAAAGGCATAATGATGAAGAAAGTTTTGGCTCAGGAAAATTTTGAAGCACGTTTTGACATATAAACTATTAGACAGTATACGTACATGCAAATGAATCCTTACCCGTGCTATCATTATAAATGCTATTACGCTTACCCGTTACCCGTGGAATCAATCTTGAGTCAATTAAAGTTTGAGACTTAGAAAATTTCGAGCTGATCGAAAACGTTTTTTCGTCATGGACCGACTTAGAAATGCTCAAAACGCATAATGACGGAGAAGTTTTGGCTCAGGAGAATTTTAAAGCACATTTTGACATATAAACTTTCAGACAGTATACGTATATCAAATGAATCCTTACCCGTCCGATCATTATGAATTCTATTACGCTTACCCGTTACCCGTGGGATCAATCTTGAGTCAACTAAAATTTGAGACTTAGAAAATTTCGAGCTGATCGAAAAAGTTTTTTCGTCATGGACCGACTTAGAAATGTTCAAAACGCATAACGATGCAGAAAGATTTGGCTCAGGAGAATTTTGGAACACATTTTCAAATTTGAGATGACTTATGCAAATGTTCGTTATCCATCCTTAATAATAAGTTATACTAACCTTATCCGTTATCCGGGATTTTCGAGTCAACTAAATTTGGACTGATGGAACATCCGAGTTTTTTCGTCATAGACATAGATCAACCTAAAAAGATTCATAACGCGTATTGATGGAGAAAATTTTGGTTCGGGGGAATTTTAAAGCACATTTTGACTTACAGACTTGCTGATCCGTCTTACTCAGTAGGCTTATACTTTTTCTTAGATTGTTCTACGCTCCGCGTTACCCGGATTTCTCGACTATACTAGTACTGCAGCTATAAAGGGCCACATACTACTTTTTAATATAGCCATCACAAACACTGGCTAGCTACAAGGTATGCCGAAATCCCATATCCTTAATTCATCGCGACAAATCGCCGAGGCTACTGCCGGGTATGCCGAAATCTAGCATCCTTAACATCCAGTATGCTCATGAGCACGCTCGTACAGTCGTCTGTTTGTGAGGAAAATTTTCCCCGTCTGTTCGAAATTTTGTAAATATACAGAAATATATCTAAATAAAAAACGTGCTGGACATGTTTTACATGGTGAAAGGTTGACAATTTTTGTAAGGAAAATTTTTGGTTTTGCAAACATATATCTTATATGTGTGTAAATAAAAATTAATAGAAATAAATAAAAATTTCCAGCTAACATTCACGACGAGAACGGGAGTTGTCTCGTGTTAGCCGCCAGACATGGTGATATATACCATACGGTATCTTAACGAACTACGAGGGAGAGTGCTGGCGGCACCTAAACCATTATGTGCCGACACCCTTTTCGCAAGATTCTGGAATATATCGCCTTCCACACATTACTACGCGGTACGGGTTCCGTTTATATACAGTTGCGACTCCGTTGATGGAAGGCTTGTGGGACGCAATAACCCAGCGCGTGGGCATTGGGTATGCGGGTAACGAAATAACACAATACTCATGCAAAAGCATTCTTATAAAAAAACTACATTTATAATATAGACAGTGCATAACATATAAACATTTTGACATATAAACTTTCCAACAGTATACGTATATGAAATTGAATCCTTATCCGTCCGATCATTATAAATACTATGACGCTTACCCGTAACCCATGGGATCAATCTTGAGTCAACTAAAGTTTGAAACTTAGAAAATTTCGAGCTGATCGAAAAAGTTTTTTCGTCATGGACCGATTTAGAAATGTCCAAAAGGCATAATGATGAAGAAAGTTTTCGCTCAGGAGAATTTTAATGCACATTTTGACATATAAACTTTCAGACAGTATATACGTATATGCAAATGAATCCTTTCCCGTCCGACCATTATGAATTCTATTACGCTTACCCGTTACCCGTGAGATCAATCTTGAGTCAACTAAAGTTTGAGACTTAGAAAATTTCGAGCTGATCGAAAAAGTTTTTTCGTCATGGACCGACTTAGAAATGTTCAAAACGCATTAAGATGGAGAAAGTTTTGGCTCAGGAGAATTTTAAAGCACATTTTGACATATAAACTTTCAGACAGTATACGTATATGCAAATGAATCCTTACCCGTCCGATCATTATGAATTCTATTACGCTTACCCGTTACCCGTGGGATCAATCTTGAGTCAACTAAAGTTTGAGACTTAGAAAATTCCGAGCTGATCGAAAAAGTTTTTTCGTCATGGACCGACTTAGAAATGTTCAAAACGCATAATGATGCAGAAAGTTTTGGCTCAGGAGAATTTTAAAGCACATCTTGACATATAAACTTTCAGACAGAATACGTATATGCAAATGAATCCGTACCCGTCCGTTCATTATAAATACAATTACGCTTACCCGTTACCCGTGGGATCAATCTTGAGTCAACTAAAGTTTGAGACTTAGAAAATTTCGAGCTGATCGAAAAAGTTTTTTCGTCATGGACCGACTTAGAAATGCTCAAAACGCATAACGACGCAGAAAGATTTGGCTCAGGAGAATTTTAAAGCACATCTTGACATATAAACTTTCAGACAGTATACGTATATGCAAATGAATCCTTACCCGTCCGATCATTATGAATTCTATTACGCTTACCCGTTACCCGTGAGATCAATCTTGAGTCAACTAAAATTTGAGACTTAGAAAATTTCGAGCTGATCGAAAAAGTTTTTTCGTCATGGACCAACTTAGAAATGTTCAAAGGCATAATGATGAAGAAAGTTTTGGCTCAGGAAAATTTTCAAGCACGTTTTCACATATAAACTTTTAGACAGTATACGTATATGCAAATGAATCCTTACCCGTCCAATCATTATGAATTCTATTACGCTT